AGTGCCAGTTTATTTATTGCTGGACATTTTTTTTTGCTCCGGGGGGGGGTGCACTTGGCTTTCCCCGGTGGGGCAGTTCTCCCCCGTAGATATAGCTGGAAGAAACCGTGAATGTATGCATAAAAGTCGGTACTTAATCAAGGCAGCCTTTTGTCGGTTCAGGCTCATGTGAAAACTAGTCTGCTTTTTATCTACATCAGTGCTTTTGAAAGTGAGTGGGAAAGGTAAAATCTTCAGAAGTTTATGGGACGCCATGTTGACCTAAGACACATGTGTCAAACTGAAGGCCCGCGGAACAATTATATCGGACCCTCGAGGTGTTGACCGGCGTAACATTATATCCAAGTCAACACCATGGTGTTTCCCAAAGCACGCTTTGCTGAAAAACTTGGCTTACTTCGCTTCGAGTACGCACGGCGTTTTAGTGACTTTGAAACACAGAAATGTAATTTCGAGCTGTTTCGTGACCCATTTGTCACAGACGTGTTTACTTCACCTGCAAATTTGCAGCTGTAGCTAACAGAGCTGCAATGTAATGTGACACTGCATGCGGCTGGAATCTTGAGCATATTTGGTAGCACATATGTGTGAACAGCTGTTTTCTGTGACGAAGATTACCAAAACATCACACAGGAGTTGTCTCACTGGGAACACTTGCAGTCCATTATGAAAATCTCAATGACACATAACGCTACTCCCAACATAAACAAACTTACTTGTTTTTGTAGCCAAGAAAATGTGCCAAACATCCAGCTCTGACAAATTGTTATAAGAAAAAAAAATGTGTATGCCAATGATTTTTAATTATTAATAACGTCACATTGGAGATGGCGTCGGTGAGTCGCCGAGCGTGAGCTCTTAATACACCCCCCGTACACACCCACACGGGCCGACGCCGGGTCTCCCTGCCACCAGACCGTGCGGAAGCACGCCGGGAACCCTCCCCCCCCCCACCCTGGCCTAGGGGACGTCCGGTTGACTGAAAACGCTGATTTTAAAGCGTTCGCGGTCCACTCTCCTTGGGTAGGAACGGCTTTGCTTCTTCTCCGGGGAAAGGTGTTGCGTTACCTCCTCCCACCGACCAGGGAGTTTTCCGGTCGTGACGTAAGCGGGGACGAAACTGTCGCCTAGGAGCGGCTTTCTCAGAGCCACGTCGCTAAAATCATCGGAAAGGGTTTGACAGCTACCCAGATGTCATATCCGTTATCGGCAAAAAGCAATCAAAAGGGGCCGGGGTTTTTTAGCTTCGGGAGGAAATCTCCCTACTAGTCTTCCACGCCAAGAAGAGACAAAACCCCATGTGGAGGCACCCAGGTTTCCTAGGAGACGCTCCGCTTTCGCGGACACATTTAAAAAAAATAAAATTTAAACACTTTTTTTCTCATTTAATATATATAAATGTTTCTTTAAAAAAACACATTATATCCCCGTTTATTGAATGTGTATCCTGTTTGGCCCGCAACCTTACATGTGATTTGAGTTTAGGCCCGCCGAGCGATTGAGTTTGACACTCCTGAGCAATCTTTTTAAAATAAACGAATATAATTTACACATATTTATTTTTTTAAAAATCTATAATACGATTAAACTGTCAGCATTGAGGAAGAGTCATGGACAGACATTGTTAAGCGATACAGTGATAAGTATCTTTTTTCGAAATTACTATGAAAATCTTAGTTCATCAATCAAACAGTACAAGTAGCTATTGGAAAACTGGGGGCGAAGGTATAGAGTCTTAATACTAGCATTTTGTACATAAGAAGATGCCTGCCAAAGCACAAACAAAACTTTTATTCAGGTTGAAAATTAAATATAGAAATATTTATTTTAAACACATTTCTTATTATGTTTTTTGATAGCGTAATTTTATTTTGTAAAATTGTGAATTTTTATATAAAAAAATTTAAAGAAAATAAATATTAACTATTCACTGTGACTTTATAGATACATCATTTTAGTATTTTTTGCACTCTACAGGATACTAATACATGTTTTCATTGTGATTTCATTGCTACAACGAGAAAATATGAGTTATAAAAAAGGGGAAATTAGGGTGGAGAGGAATTAGTGACTATATGAAGTTTATGATTGTTTTTAAACATATATTTTTAAACTATACATTTGTACAGACAGCCGAGAAGCCATCTTCACATATTAGAACATCAATTTTTGTTGTTGTTTTTTTTGTGTGTTCCAGTTAAACGTGCAATGTTCCAGTTTGTTAATGTTTTGTTCAACGAGTGCATGTTTTGGTTTGGAGATTAATTGTGCAGTTGTTCCTGCGTGATTTGTATTTGTGATGCATAGGGTTTTGAGAGATGACGTTGTTAGTTGCTATGGTATTTGGTAGTTAGTGAGTGAGAGATGGTGGAAGAAAGAAGGCACGCAGTGAATTTTATTGTTGAATAAAAAAAACAAAACATATCAAATATTGATCTTCTTGTTGTAACTAACAACCCCTAGGCTTAACCGAGTCTATTGAAATACTTTTGCATTCAGCAGGTTTATAAAAGTTTCCCTTGTAGTCAGTTTTCTAATGTTTTACTGTAGGAGTATATCTTGAAAATGTATTATTTTAATTAAAAAATTATTTTGATAGTTTTTCGAATAGTCCGCTGTAGTAAACTGAATCGGTTAGTACTTGGAAATATTTAAAAAAAAACAAACTAACAACCAAATAATGCTAAGTAATCTGAGAATTAATATATTTGTTTTAAAAAAAAATATTTGAACGTTCAACATTAGCATCAGGCGCCTCACAAGAAGTGTTGATATTAAAATAACACTTAACATTATTGATAATTGAAATAGCTCATGGAGAAAACAACAACAACAGTGCACACATGGCTTATCACGCTGTATAATGTACAGATAATATTACAATAAGACATCACGTCTCTTAGTACCCATACAATGGGGGATTGTAGGCTGGCACTTGGCCTGGAAGATAGAGGAGAACAAGAAATGCGATTTACATTTATATAAGTATTTCATTTTGTTAATGAGTTCATCTGATTCACAATAAGTCGCAAGACATTGCATTGCCTATCATATACTAACAAAGTAATGCAGACATGCTACATTGCATACCATATACTAACAAAATAATGCACACATGCTACATTGCATACCATCTATTAACAAAATAATGCAGACATGCTACATTGCCTATCATATACAAACAAAGTAATGCAGACATGCTACATTGCATACCATATACTAACAAAATAATGCAGACATGCTAAATTGAATACAATATACTAACTAAATAATTGAGACACGCTAAATTGCATACCACTTACATATAATCTGGGAACATACCTGGATTTAATAAAAAAAAAACGTATATCAATCGTTAGTGTCATAAACTCACCTGCAGTGCCAGCTTCTGTCATCATGCCACTTGTTTGTGTCATAAACTCACCTGGATGCCAGCTTGTGTCATCATGCCACTTGTTTGTGCCATAAACTCACCCGGAGTGCCAGCTTTTGTCATCATGCCATTTGTTTGTGCAAAAAACTCACCCGGAGTGCCAGCTTGTGTCATCATGCCAATTGTTTTTGTCATAAAATCACCTGCAGTGCCAGATTGTGTCCTAAACTCACCTGCAGTGCCACCTTGTGACATCATGCCACTTGTTTGTGTCACGACAGCACCTCCCTGGGCCGGTGGTCCTATAACGTTGACAACTCTAGTCGGAGCTGTGCATTTCTTACATATCAGCACAATTGTGACTATGAGAATAACAAAGCCAGCAAAGGAACCAACAGCTATGCCAACAATTGTTCCAATGCTGAACACGGAAGACACGGCACTGCTGTAGCTGCTGTAGGAGCTGATGAGATGTAAACCATAATTTTGATTAGCTTGACTGTGAGTTGTACTTTTTAAAAAAAATAGTATGTTTTTTTCAGATAATATGTACAATTGATCGGCGTGGATCATGCAATAATTATTTAAAATACAATGGAACCTCTCATAACGAGTAATTTGCATAACGCGCAAAAAAACAAAAAAAAACAAAAAAAAAACGTGAAGAAGTTGCTCCCTTAACGAGCGATATTTCGCATAACGAGTTACGCAGAAAGAGGAAGTCCCTTTTTCCCTCACTTCTGCTTGGAAAAAAACTTTGGCCAGAGAGTGTTGTTGTCTGTGGAGTCTACAGTTAACGAGATTGAGTCATTGGCCAATATCATGGGACTCGAGGAGGACATCAACGATATTGAAGAGCTTGTCCAGAGTTAACCACCGAAGAGCTTATGGAGTAGCATCGTGTTTCACAGCAAGAAACTATGGAGGAGAGCTCATTAATGGATGAGGAAGTAGCAGAGCAACAATCTTCTAGCGCAATAAGCGAACTGCTGAAAGCATGGGAAACTGTTGCATCGTACATTGAGAAGCATCACCCTAATAAGGAGGTGGCTGTTCGTGCTACAAATTCATTCAATGATAATGCTGTGACACATTTTCTTCAAATTTTGAAGCGTCGGCAAAAACAAATGTCTTTAGACAGTTTTCTAGCTAAAAAGGATTAATTATTTTTCATAAAGTCATATTTTTATTTACGTTTTTTTGTTTCAAATCTTAATTGTATTCCAAGTTGTTACACCCCTTAACAATTCATAAGCAATTTTATTTCAATTAATGTTAATACAATTTTTTGAAAAAATTAGTATTTTTTAAGCATAGTATGCATTAATCGTATTTTACATTGATTTGTATGGGAAAAATTGTTTCGTTTAACGAGTGTTTCGCTTAACGAGAAAGATTCTGGAACGAATTATGCTCGTTATGAGAGGATCCACTGTACTACATTTTCCTTATTTAAATTAAAAACAATTAATTAATTTATTTAAAAAACGCAGCCATTGATTAATGCTAAAATGAGACTAATTGAAAAGAGTTGAAAAAAAAAAACCATTTTGTTTGAGTGGTTCTAAATACAAGCTTGCCAAGACACTTTAATTCCCCCCCCCCCCCTCACTTTCACTATGAAAAAAATGGCTATGATATATATTGACTGAGCTATAATACGACAATGTTCAACTACAACTATGTTATAGCTAGTAATATTATGCGTAAAATTGCAGATGTCTTTTAAATAAATATTTGTAACTTAGCCAATCGGTTAAAGTTCTGCGAACTAAAATAAAATTGTTACGAATTTTATAAGGGGCATAACTGAGTATAATGAAAATGAACGCAGGTCCCAAGGTTATCTATCCTGTTACCAATTAATGTTTAAAGTAGTTTTCAAGAACGTCTTTAAAGAGCAAAGCATGACATTGTGCAGTGTTCGACAAGCTAATTATTCAAAAGAGCCAAAAAATCAGCAGCAGGATGATTAAACAAATTTGAGAACCAAATTTCTTTTCAAGAACAATGTTTTTTTTTAGGGGGCAAAACCGATTTGTGGCTGACTGGCCGAGCCGCACTTAGGTCGCTGAAGAGCCACATGCGGTTCGCGTGCCGCGATTTTCCGGCCACTGGCATAATGTGTAAATATAACAAAGCTGTCACAAAGATTTTCTCCCCCCCCCATTCTCCCCCCCCTCTCTTTCTCTCTCTCTCTCTCTCTCTCTTCGCGTTAGTTCTAGACATATTACGAAAATTATTTCATTGTATAACGATGATAGATGATGATCATATGTACGTAAACAAAGCAAAATTTGTGTAAAATATATACTAAACAAATTTTTGGAGCTAGAGAGCTTAACGTTTTCACATATGTTTTCCATTATCCGATAATTAAAATAGTTCTGTCCATTTCTTTTGTCCGACTACAGTCCCACCCAGGCACACGTTTGCCCAAAATCGTCCTTTTCTAAGATGAGTTATGCAGAGGGAAAAGTGTCATGGATTTGCGTTGCGACTAGGTCATGAACGTTAAACTTTTATCTAATTGATGCACAATGAAATTGTGTTGCCGCGAGCGTTGCGTGAGATAGCTCGGTTCATTACACGAGGATATTGTGTTGTGTGATTAAGTAAATTAAGCTCAACACAATATTCTCTTGTCATGAAAATTGTGGAGCGTATCATTAGTGTTGATGAGAGACGTATCATTGAGAGGTTGCATTATCATTTCCCCTTCCTTAGAATATCCAGTTTTAAAATATAATTTCCCCACAACTATCCAATAAACATTTGTTAAATTTCTGATCGCCTTATAAATTATCTCTTTACCTTTCCTACAGTTGAATTAAATAAAAAGATAAAACGGAAGAGATGTGTTATATTTAATAGAACTACTAGAAAATTATTTATACGAATTTAGTTGACAATTTAATATAAATGATTTTTTTAAATAGAGGAAATACATTAATTTACCGAATATTACAGAGTATTATGAGGGAAATTCCTGATAAATAAATAAATCACTACAACAAAGTTTTCGTATAACTCCTATTAAATGTAATATCGAGCCTTAGGGCGTACGGGCTAAAAATTTGACAAAACAAGTAGCCCACTTTATAAGAATCCAAATTAATATTCTCTTTTCTCCCCCCCCCCCCCACACCCAACCAACAAGACTCGCAAACGCACATTTTTTTACGCCCTTGAATTATATTAATATTCTAATTCCTACTCGCTTTTTCACAACAGATTTATTTTACCAACAATTTAAGAAAAAAAAAGAAGAAAATATTACGCACCAAACGCACTTAAAAATAGTCAAATTTTATGCAGTTATCGGGAATTTCATTTTATCTTCCCTTTGAAAAACAGTAAAAACTGTTATTTGGGGGGTAGGGGTCGGGGCTGAACATTTGTTAGAGTGTGTTGTCATCGGCTACTAGCCTATGTGCCAAGTTGCAGCTCGATAGGTTGACGTTAAGTGGGTATTTAAAAAGGTACTTAACGCCAAACTAAGAGAACTTTCAAAAAGAGCTGGTACACTATGACAATCTCATATGCCAGGACTATTTTTGTATAAGCAATGTTATATTATGCAATACAATCGAAGTGTTTCAAAATGCAGGAATCGTGTTGTACTTTTGTGTTAGATGAGATAAGAATGTCTGTATTGATCAAATCTGTATGGAAAATGTATGTATTTACGCTAAGTAATATGTGTATTGATAGCTTACTATGAACAGCAATACCGGTTCATATAAGTTCCACAGCAGCCATATGCACAGTAGGAGGAAGTCAAGGAATTAGAAGCATCGTATTCATAACAGGTATCACCAAAAACGGTGATAGCTGAAAACAATATATTATTGATAACGCTTGAATTACTGAACAATATCTTTGCCATTAAAAAAAGGCCTTTAATGTTATTGTAAGTGTCGATATGGCAAATGCTTACATTTTCTCTTAACGCCAAATTTACTCATTTGAATTACGATTTTAACTGCATTGCATTTACCTCCACGTTAATTGGAAATTAGGAAATTTATTAAGAAAATTTAATCCCAAACGGTTAACTCTTACATAATAAAGTGACTCGATTTAAAAAAAAAATATGTAAGAATAAAATATTTACCAAGAATTTAAAACATTCAAAAATTATTTTAACATTATATTTAAAAAAACAAAAAGTTATTAGTGTTCTTAAAAAAAGTTGTAAAAGTTGGTTATTGAATAATTATTTTGTTTAAACACAAAGAAAGTAGTGTCGTGTGCCACAAAATCAATAATACTTTGATCTTGCCGTACTCAAAGTTTCAAAACAAAAGATTTCAATGACTATGTTAAACCAAAAAAATTCTATAATGCATAGCTCAATACCCTGGATGAGAGTCAGGAACACAACGACTGCACGTCTGTGCTCCATGGCAGTCCTCTTATCGAAGTGAGACTTGTGACTGCTTAATACTTGATGCCGCTTGCGCTCGCATTCATTCCTACAGACGTATTTCCGTTCCAACCGATCTCAGCTACTCGCTTCACCCATTACACCCTCCCCTCCCCCTTACCCCGAAACTCTACCGCCTATCACTCTAACACTACCCCAACAAATGTCCGCTACGTACACTTGCAAATCCTGTCCTCTTCCACGAAGATCACACCCCTACCTTACTCCGCCCGCGACCATCTATCATTCACTCCCTTAACCCGTAATACCTTTCTCTAACTATCTAGTCACCCCCCCCACCCATGCTCCCCTTCATTACACACTCGCCCCATTTTCGTCACTTTCTTCACAAACGCCTCGTTCATTACCAATAATCTCTTCCCAATAAACCTATATACATTCCCTACCTATATTCTCTACCAACAATCCCATCCTACATTCCCAACCTTCATTCACAACCTCCATTCCCAACCTCCATTCCCAACCTCCATTCCCAACCTCCATTCCCAACCTCAGTTCCCAACCTCCATTCCCAACCTCCATTCCCAACCTTCATTCACAACCTCCATTCCCAACCTACTTGTCCTACCTACATTCTCTACCTACCGTCTCTACATACAGTCCTTACCTACCTACCTTCCCTACTTACCTATACCTTCCCTACCTACCTACCTTCCCTACTTTATCATCCCTTCTCTACCTACATTCTCTATCTACTTTCCCAGCCTACATTTCTTATCTACATTCCCTACCTACCTTCCCTACTTTACTTATCTTCTCTTCCTTACTTATCTTCCCTTCCCTGTTTATCTTCCTTTCCCTGCTTATCTTCCCTTCCCTACTTATCTCCCCATCCCTACTTATCTTCCCTTCCCTGGTTATCTTCCCTTCCTTACTTATCTTCACTTCCCTACTTATCTTCCCTTCCCTACTTATCTTCCCTTCCCTACTTATCTTCCCTTCCTACTTATCTTCCCTTCCCTACTTATCTTCCCTTCCCTACTTATCTTCCCTTCCCTAGTTATCTTCCCTTCCCTACTTATCTTCCCTTCCCTACTTATCTTCCCTTCCTTTCTTCACTTCCCTTCCCTACTTATCTTCCCTTCCCTACTTCCCTTCCCTTCCCTACTTATCTTCCCTTCCCTACCTACGTTCGCTGGGATATAACATTTCCCTTGCTGTCTTCTCGGACACGACATTTCAGCTAGTGTTTAGTTGCAAAGTTTATATTTGTTTTACTCGCTGTTACTTCAGTAGAAGGCATCTTGTCGACGCGTTCGTTGCTTTTTGCGTCCATTTGCAGGCTCCCCCCCCCCTTACCTTGTTTCACATATTTCCTTCTATAAAACCTGTTTGCAGCCGCCATCCAGCCCCAAGTATCCTTTTACATTATAGCAGCTATTTTCTAACTTAATCTGCTGAAAATCGTGTCTCTTAATTAAACATTTGCGCCCAGGGTCTAGACCATCATCAGTCCATTAAGCTGCATTATTTCATACAGGTACAGCAATATACCTGTAGCTTTTTACGCAACGTACACATTTTAATACAGCAAATGAATAGTTTAAACCGTTTACAGTTGATACAATAGGAACAAGGGGCTAGTAAACGTTTTTCTTCCACGCTCAGTCATATGAAGGCCCCCAGGCCGATGCTTTAAATAATGTTTTTTCTATCACAAGATAAGGCACTGTACATTTTTTTGTTTCGCTCACTGACCCTCTGGCACATTTTCACTTCATTTCTAGGTTCCTTTGATCACAGGTCTCGGGCTCGTAAGGGCGCTATGAGGAACCCTAGCAACAATTTCTACGCCCCAGTATAAGCATTAAAAGCTATAAACATGTAAATCAACCCCCCCCCCCCCGAGTCCTCTTTCCTGATCGCGATGTGCAATGTAACGATCTAAGCATAAATATTAAACCTATGTTAATATACTAAAACATTACAAAAATTTGTTGAAAATTTTAATTTCAAATAATTCAAAGGTTGATATCTCTGTAATCTACTATTCACTTGACAATTTATTTAATTTAAATTGAAAACACATTTGAAATATGCCATAAAACAGCACTGATCTTTCAGATTCTATCAATTTGAAGTTTCACACTTTTGAAACTTTCTCTTGCCTAGATGACCCTTTAAACCTACTCGTGGATTATTTTTTGAGTGTTGCTGTTGCTCGAGTTTAAATTTACCTCCCCCCTGCGGATTAGACACGACCAGTGCCGTCGTAAGTCATGGGCACAATGGGCAGTTGCCCAGAAACTCACACTTTTAGGGGATCTCACGCTTCTGAGGTGAATCTCACGTCTAGTTTTTAGATTGTCAAATAACTTGCATTTTTGATACTAGTTAACAAAAATTGTTTCATTACATGGCCAAATTTTTAAAAAAGTACAGTTATTTATTTTGTGCGGCCCGGGGTGTCTATTTAAAATTTATCATAGTTCAAAGAGTTTGACACTAAAATTAGGAAGTCATTCCGGGTTTATTCGAGCCAGGTTTGGGGGGGGGGGTGATCTAAACTTGGTCGGCTTGTTAAGTTGTAAATTACTGGAGGCGCCACAGAACATAGCAATTTAAATAAAACCTTCAAATTCATGGGGGGGGGGGGGGGCAAATGCCCCACCCGGCCCTACCCAAATGACTTCCTTTATTTAAAATAGTAGCCTATTTTCATTAAATAGCCATTTATATGAAGGAAGATACAGTAGTATTAAATTCTAGACAAACCTTTCGATCTACTTACATTTTGGGAAATTTATACTGATTCAACAATCCTCTGATAATTAACATATCAAATCTATCAATATATATAATTTGCCAGCAAAGGCCAAACACCACCACGCAGGCTATATTATATAGATACGCCAGAGTGTGGTTAAATAAGAGTTCAATAGCGCGCAAAATATAATTCCCGATAACTACGCCTACGCTAAATGATATACATCTTTTTTAATAACGCAATTGCGTTTGGTGCGTAATATTTTCTTTTCGGAAATGAAATCGTCTCAATTTAAGTATTGTGTAAAAAATATTCGGTTTAAAAGTGATTGGGACATGAGAATATTAATATAGTTCATGGGCGTGTAATACAATGTGTGCAGTGACGTATCATGGGGGAAGGGGTCTGGTATAAAAAAATTAGGATTCTTAAATGTGCGTTACTTAAGTTCATGTTTTGCCAAGTAACTTTACTAGATGGGAAGATATTGTTATTAAATGTTTGATATTTTGTGACGTATTGCGCGAAAAGGGATATGACGTATTATTATTGTGCAGTGTAGTTTTGTGAGCAATGGTTGTTCAAGATGTAGCTTAGTTGTGTAATAATAAAGATATTTTATTGTAAGAATATATAGTTTGTGAAGTGAATAAATTAAACATCCGCACTGCGGTGGAGCTACTGCCTCCACCCCTGCTTTCCCCCTTTCTTTGCGAACATAGCCACCGCTTCGCATGTATTTCATGGAAACAACGCTTCATTCACTTTTTTAAAAATATTCCTACCTTAATATTGTTTTTCTGTTAATTCTAATCCCGTTCAGCATTATATGGCGACATCGACTTCTCAATTGTCACTCCGGAACCATTCAGTACGCGAGCTATTTTAAGCGTCACCAACGAAGACTCCCTACATCTTAATGAAGAAGTCTTGAAACTTAACCCTACCGACGAAGTAACTATGACCAATGTTGACTCCATCGTCACAGACGATCCCGCAGATCAACTGTCATTCCCAGAAGAATTTCTTAACAGTCTTACTCCGAACCGGCATGCCTCCGCATAAACTCAAAATTAAAATTGGTTCAGTTGTCATGCTTCTCAGAAAACCTCTTGCCTGCAAGTGGTCTCTGTAATGGCACTAGACCGACTGTTACCAAGATTCACCGCACTGAGCTAGAGTGTCGAACTCTTGCATCTGCTACCGCACAAACTGTCCTTATTCCCCGGATTTTCCTCAAACCATCAGATTCAAATTTACCTTTTACTTTTACACGGCGACAATTTCCTCTTACATTATCCTTTGCAATGACAATTAATAAGGCACAGGGACAAACTTTCAAAAAGATATGCCTCTATCTACCAAAACCGGTCTTCAGTCACGAACAGTTGTATGTAGCTCACTCCAGAGTTCCATCTTTTCACGCAATCACAGTTGTATCCTCAAACCCATCCCATTTGGACAACAACTGTGTCTTTCACGAAGTCTTCACTCATCTATGAGTAATCCTGCGACGTATGCTACGTCTCGGGTCGACTAGTATAATAATATATATAAAAGTGAAAATTTGCTTGTTTGTTCCATAAATGCTTTTACATGGATTGATGATCGTGTCCAAACTTGGCTCACATATCTATCAGTATGCAGAAGGAAATCTTAAGGGGTTATGAACGTTTTTATAACATTCCTTGTGGGGCCGGGGGCCCTAAATTCGTTTTTTTTAAATTATATGAGCTATATAAATAAAGTTAACAAAAAATACTCTTACATGAGTAATTGGATCTTTACCAAACTTAGTACACATACACTTTATTATCCATATTAAAATACCAAAGGGTATTGAACTCATAATATCCATTCCTCTGGGGCCGGGGGCCTCGTTTCATTTTTTTCTTATATAAGCCATATAAATATCAATAGGCTTAGACAACACCATAGTTTCTATGTGAATTGATGGACATAGGCCTAGCGTTGTAGCAATACCCTTCATTGTCCGTATTGAAATATCGGTGGATTTAAAACTAACAATATCCATTCTAGAATTTTCCATAAAGTTCGATTATTTAAAAAAGCTATATCTATGACATTTTTCAATAGATTTTAATGGGACCAATTTATAAATGTTAACTCTATTATTTATCGGTCTGATATTTGTAGGGCCCCCTATTGCAGGCATAACTAAATCGGTACAGTTATGGAATCGGCCCCCGGGGCCCCTTGATTAACTTAAAAGAAAAAAAGATTACAATTATAGCATTTGTTGAAGTTTTTTATCGTTTAAAAAAGTGTCTCATTTTTATTTTACTTAGTTTACATGTTTTTAATAATTGTAAAGCGCGTAGAGCTTTATGGTA